GAGTCGAGTGCCTTAACCACCTGGCCATGCCGGGCCGTATTGTATTGAACAAAATGGTTATGCGACCCGCGCTCGTCATTCTCTCAGTTATCTGGCCAGCTGTGAAAAAAGTTAGGTGACCCCTTCTCTAGATGAACCAACAGGTACCTCTTTTTTTTTTATGTTAGCAGATATTAAACTCCATAAATTAATGAAACCGCACAGTACTATATAATTTACAGTAACAAGCGAAAGGTAAAAATAAGGGACTCCAGGGTAACATTACGGACAAAGTTATTTGTTATTTCTTTACTAAACTTAAAAATATGAATAAATAATAAGAAAATTAAGATGTAGTCATAATAGGACACAGTGTTTTGTAGGTAGCGTTCTATTTTACGCGCTTAAATCGTCGTAAGGTGGCTCTGGGTACGACTAAACAATAATAATTTATATTGCGATTTCATAATTAGTGATTAGGAACTATAAAAATGTTTCACGAATTACTGTTTGCTTTGCATGGATTCACTGGAAATATTTTTGTCTTAGAAGGTAGAAGGATATGTGTATGTATTTTTTTTAATTCAGTTGTAACTTTTATGTTTATTTTTCATTTATTAAATAAACTTTTTAAAGACCTCATCATTGAAATTTGAATGGCACCTCTGATACTCGTACACTGTGTAGTGTGACAGCTGGTGCATGTGCTAAATACTTAAAATAGGTATCATGAATAAATATATCTGCTGCTGGACTGATATAGAACATATTAGAATAGGCCAATACCTTCTATTAAAAAGCTATCAAATATCAGATATGGCACTGCATCAGTATTGTTGGGTGATGTAATCAATTATCTATGAGTATCTGTAAGAGTGACATTGATTAATGTCGCATAAAATATCTGATTAATTGAAACTGTGATCAAATTAATGTTACAGAAGTAATCAACTGATCAGGGAATGTTCTGGCTCATAAACAGTTGGAGCCAAAAAAATAGCCAACCTCAGAATGCTGTCACCAATTTTTAAAATCAAGAGGTAATTAAGAGCCAAATTTTTGAACAATGAATTTGTGATGTATATATATATATATACC